GGATTATAATGAAGGGTGATGAAAGTGAGGGGATAGTCGTGAGTAGCCAAGAACCGTTCAACGTCCCAAGGAAAAGAGCCCGATGATGGAATAATAAGACGAGCATATGGGGTCACCCCGCTGATACAGGAGAGCCCTGACCAGGGATGGAGGGTATATTAATGGGCCAGTCTATGCCGTGGCATATTCTGGATGCGAATTACCTGTCCACTGAACGGTATGTATTAGAATAACGACAGGGGATCTATAGCGAGTTTGCTTACCAGGTTTCGCATCGTGCACTTTCTGTCCTCTTGACATGGTCCTGGAGGTGAGACTTTGCGAAGAAACGGGCGTCGCTGCAGGTAGGATAAGTATACCACCCTCTCAAATTAGAGATGTCCTTACCAAGTCTCCCCCTTTGGACAATCACCATCGCATTGGAAGGGGCGGTGGTTGAGGTGGCTGCGGACGTGGTCCAGAGCCCGCTCGAGACGCTTGAAGCTTGTAGCCTGGCTTCCACATGGATGTTCCTTATCCCCGAACAAGCACTTCCACTGACTCCGGTCAACCTGCTCCAAGAACACCGCGTACACGCTCTTGCCCACTGGACCGAGGCCCATTGTCAATGGATCGTTGGGACCCGCATTGTTGGGCTCCATAAGGTTATCGAGTAAAAATTCGGCATTGAGAATATTGTCGAGAACTGCACGGCGGCGCCATTCGCCTTCGGTGCGGAAAGAATGAGAGATGAGGTCATCGTCCGCCCGCTTTCGGCTAGCTGTGGCTCGAGTTTGGGGTAGTAGACGATCCTCCGATTCGGTGGATTTGGTCGTACTCGCGGTGGGGGGTGGGCTAGGGTCTTTTGCACTATTAGCGCCCGCGGTAGCTCCGCCGCCATTGTTGGTGTTGCTATTGACTCTTTCGAGTCGTAGAGAGTTGGGTGACGTGGAATAAGTTTGTCCATTGATCCAATTGGGGGAAGGTGGGACAGGGGGTACTGATTCGCGCTTGATGGCAGCAGGCGAGCTTTGGCTTCCGAACCCAACGGAGTTGGTGGTCGAGTATGGGCTCTCGGGGGGCAAATCGATCGTTCCTGTCGACGAGGATTCTGCTCCAAGACTGCTGGATCGACGATTCGACATGTCCATTCCGGTCGCACTGCCAGGCATGGTCCCATTGCCCAGGGCATAGGTCATACTGAGCATATGAGGGCCATAGGTTCGGGGATACGGCTCGTCCGGTGTTCTCTCGAAAGCCGAAGAAGAGAGTGGGACCGGTCTTCTTAAGCCAGCTAGGTATGCCGTCGTGCTCGAGATGGAATCGCGCTTCAAAGTTAAAGACCCTGGTCCCCGTGAGAGGAAAGGGCGAATGGACCGAGCGCTCCCACCACTGTTTGTCAAACTACCCAACGAAAGGAGACGGGGTGACGTGAGATGCGCCATCCGCGGTGAGCTGTAAGGGTGCGAGTGGCCCTGCCGCGGCGCCGGCGTTCGGACCGCAAGGGAAGGGATGGCAGGTAAGGCCGAAGGGAGGTCGTGGATCTCCTTTGCACCGGTGTTTAATCGGTCCTCCATGACCATGTCGAATGTCGCGGCTTCCACAATTTGGGTTAATTCGTCCGGTA